ATTAATTAATTAATTATAGGAGTATAAAGTGTAAATTTAAAATTATAATTTTAAAAAATGAAAAAGTGAAAAAGTGAGTATAAAGGGTATTTTGGTCATTTAGAATTTTAAGACTTTAAGACTTTTGCTAAATTTGTTTAATAAGATAGTATAGATACTTTTAAAATGTATTATAATTTAATAAATAAATATATTTCTAACTCAGAATATTTTTTAATTAAAAAATTTAAAAAGAAACACGTGAAACACATTAAATTTCATGAGCGGATTACACTTTTGGTCCTTATAATTCTTCAAAAAACTGATTAGTCCCACATAATGATTGTTAACTGACGATGTTTCCAACGACCCTAAGAGTTATGAAATTGAAAAGTTAGGAACCATTAGTGTAGATGGTATTTTTAGGAATCAAATCCAAAATTTGAGCAAATGATAAGGAACCAACAATGTAATTCACTCAATCAATAATTTCAATTTCTTCCAATTCGAAAATTTAGAGTTGACGTGATGATAATCATCGACCGATTAGGAAACAACTCTGAATAGCAACATATGTGCATTCAACCAGTGTTAAATCATATACGTCAAACTATAGTTCAAAATATCTACAAGTGAAAATTTGAAATCAACAAATATATTGTAACACTAAAATGTCGAAATATACCTATTAGTACTAATCAAAACAAAGAAGATGGTGTTGAATATGCTGACAAATCAAATGCCCTAAAATAATAATTGAAAAAGCTAAGATATATCGAAAACTTTAAATTAATAAAAAAACACAGAGGCTAGAATAAAAAACCATAACTAATTAAACTAAATTCTGAAAATTGATGACTCACTAAAAAAGTGGTCTTGTACCAAAACTCTTTATGAACAAGATATTATTTCATATTTTCGGGATTTAAAGAGTTATAACTGTAATAACCCGCATGATCATATAACAAAAAAACACATAATGTACATAGATCAACCATATTAGGTTTACACATTTGGTCCCAACATATCAAAACTATACATCATCAATAAAATATTGAACAAACTTTTTGTCATTTAAAACTTAATACAAAAGATTGCTATATGGCCATAGGACAAAAGTAAACTTTCACCTATTCATTGATTGCTTACACATATGACATCCACACATATAAACTAAAGTTTTCCTTTCTCTTTATCATTAAGAAGCAACTGCTCTGAAATGCATATTTTTTAAAAGAAAATGAGGGTTAGACCATACGGTCTAATGAGAAATTATCTGACAGTTATCAGTCCAAATATAAATCAATTACTGTAAAATAGTCAAGTCTGATGGTCAAAGGTTAGCTCTCAGGTTCAACAATCCTCACAGGTAAGTTACCATAACAGTCGTTACTCAAGGTACGCACACACTCTGATAATATTGCAATTTATATCGGTTGTGGCCCCGCCACATAAAACAAATTCGTGGGCACAATACTTATATATAATTCTTTGTCCGGACCATTATAATCCTAAAGCACCTTGCTCCTATTGTGTAAGCCCCTTTGAAATCTAAATAACAATTTTTACATCATAAGTGTTAAATTCTAATAATAGATAACAGTCCCGCAACTCTGTAAACGGTAATAATCTAAACATATTAATCATGTATAGAATCAATTTAATAAACATTTGATATTATATATGAAAGAGTGCCTCTTCCAATTTAAACATATCGAGCAAGCTTATGCATTTAATTCGATTTAACTGATAATGACAAAAATAACAGTTGTATTCTAAAGAAAATAGGACTTTTCAAAATAATTGAGACTAGTTTATAGTGGGACAAGCTTGATAGACAACTATTATTTGTTAAACCTATTTATTAATTTCATCCTTATACATGCCAACAACATGTCTTTTTTATATTTTCAAAGTATAATTCGACTTGATTTTGATGAAATATATATATATAGAAACACCATTTTGTAATATTTGAAATTTATGAAAACAAAACCGTACCATCGATCATATATCTAAGGGTTAGATGTGGATGTATAAACAATGGGAAATGCTATATGCATCTTTTTATATTAAAATTAAATCAAATAAAACATTAGAAATGTAAAAAGTACATCTTGACGTTGTTATGTGTGAAGATGAAATTAGTAGATAAATGTAAAATTAACCTCTCCCATAGAGAGAACAAACAAAAAAACATAACTTTGATGATACAGGCTATATTTAGTTCATTCCTTAGATTTGGAGTATCTCTAACGGATTCTACAAATTAGACAAAATAAAACTTTTGTTCTCTATTTTATTCTCTAAAATAGAGAAAACTAGAGAAATCTCTAGATTTTGAGAATTCTCTAAAAGTTGATATGTAGAAAGAGTAATTAATTTTTTATTCATACTCACCGATTAACTTTAATTATTATTATTTTATATAAAGTATTTTTAAAGAGGGTATTTGGATGATAGATTAATAGAATATTTTAAGAATATAATAAATGTTGAAATCTCTAAAATAAAGAATTTATTGAAATTAAATCTAATTTATTTAAGATTTTAATTTTTAGTTCTCTAATTTATAGAAATTATAAAAACTATTGAAAATGATGTTTGATCAAAGTTTGAGACTTTGTTAAAGTTGGTTCCAAAACAAAACTGAACCCATTATTTAGTTAACTTTTTCAAACTTTAAAATCAACATTATTATTTTTTATTTCTTAAATTAAAAAAATCTAAACCTTATGCTTCTCTAAACATATCTAATAAATCATAATAAAAAAACTACGAAGTATTGTAAAAATATAATCGCTTAAAATAGCAAAATTTTGAATAAGAGTGGACTTATATTAAAAAAAATATTGTAAAAATGAGATTATATAAAAAATCAAAGTGTAAAAACGGGATTATATAAAAAAATACATTATAGAAATGAAATAAAAAATCAAATTGTAAGAACAANAACAAGATTATATTAAAAAAATACATTGTAAAAATAAGATTATATAAGAAAATCAAATTGTAAAAACAAGATTATATTTTCAAAAAAATTGTAAAAATAAGATTATATAAAAAATCAAGTTTTAAAAACGATATCATATTAAAAAGATTATGAAAAAGAAAATCAAAACAAATTTTGGTCAAGCGGTGGACCCCTTACGCACCTGGGGGATCACATTTTGTCGGCTAGATGGTCAAGTCCATTGGTTAATCACATTTTATTTTTGCAAATTGGTCTATTTACGCACGGGCCGGTACGTAGAGGGTAGCCTATGGTTATTTTTAGATAAATTTGTAGTTTAGGGTTAATAACAAAAATTATAAAATGTTTTGGGTTACTTTTTGTCAGTATCCCAAAATTGGAGGGGTTTAAATGTAAAAGAGTAAATTTCTGAAATTACTTGGCCATCACTCCACACTGCTCGCGCCTCTTCTTATGTTTAAACACACACAGAGAGCACCCCTCTCTAAAAAAGGGCAGAAAACCGCTCCACTGCCATATATACTCCCTACCCTTCTTACACACACATGAGAACACACACTTAGGGTTTGCTGAAACTAATCAATCGAACACGAAATGAGAGGAGCTTATTATACGTTTTACCAGAGAGCCTCCAATGCGTTTCGTGATTATCCTTCTCTTTCTAAACTTGTCGTCATCTGTACTATCAGGTCTCTTTAATTTCCATCTCTTTTGTTTTGATCGGATCTGTGGTTCAAATTTTCAATTTTATACTGATCAACTATCGATGATACGATATGAGCTAATTTTATGTGCGTACGTTCATATACTTTTTACTGTTGCTCTAATCGAAAAATGCATCTTGTATTAATTATGCATTGAACGTGAGACACAATTCTTTATTCGACAAGATAGGCTAGTGCCCGTATTGTTTATGTCGATATAGTTAATGAAATAGTTGGATCTCGGGTGATGATGATGATACGAAGATCATAAATTCTGATCTCATATATAATTAATCATGAGTTTCCTAATAAATTTTGGATCAACAAGGGTCCTTCAAGGTGAGCGAAAAAGGTTCACATGGTGACAAAAATAATACTTGATTAGTATATCCTGCATATTAAATTTATAGATTAGGAAGAGGCGTCCGTACATAGAATATGCTGTGGATCATCCAGAATATGTGGGAGAAGAAAGTAGGAGAGAAAATGTAAAAAAATCTCTAAATTTGAAGAACTTCTTAAAGTTAAACGATTAAGACAAACATATGTTTTTTTATTGGTTCCACTAATAAGATTAAATATTATTATTTCATAAAAAAAAATTAAAAGTGTATTAAGAAAATAAGTTTATATATTATTTTAATAATATATTAATATTTGAAATCTCCAAAGCAACAATTGTTGAAGTTGGGCGTAATTTTTTTTTTTTTTTTGAGATTTTAACTTTACATATTTTACTTTAGAAAAATTACTATAAAAAGATGTTTGAGATGTTTTTAAGGTTTCAGACACATAATATTGAAATTTTTGAGTACCACTATGTATGCATGCATCGTATGAGCACATACAGGGCCTTTATGTCATGCGTACTATTATGTGATGATCACAAAAAAATTGATTGAAAACCTTCATGTACAAGTTACATGAATTGAGAGAAGGTTGTTCTATTATTTTATTTAGGGTCGTCCCTTAATATTTTAAATGTGATATTTTGAATAGGACCTCTAAAATTTTGGGGTCCAAATTTACATGTATTTTAGGTTCAAACCAATAATTATTTGGTTTTAGGTTCAAATCATTAATGGTTTACGTTTAGTTTCAGATTGTTAATCGTTTTAGGTTTAGCTCGTTTTTGTTCTTAACATACATTCTATATTATCTCGTTTATGCAATGTAATCAATAGTTTTGGGTATAGCAGGGTCTTCAAAAAGATTGAAACGTCATTGATTTTCCTTGATTAATATATGATATTACAAGCTACTTTTTATTTTCTCAATAGTATAAATTAAAAATCTTTATGTATTGTTTTGGGTTGAACTAAACTCCATTTGAAAGAGAGGCTAACATATGGAATATTATTATTAGTATTTTTCAATTAAAAAAAACCTCAAATATATCATTAACAGTGGTCAAAGGTTTGCATGTATATATTTTGGAATGGAGAGAGTTCCATATAAAAAAACATATCGTCATGAATCTAAAATATATGACTTCGACTGGATTACCAGTCTTGAGGTTTTAGCAAACCATTCATCTATTTTCTTTTTGTTTTGTGCAAATATTTGAATTTGTTAATAACTCATGCATCCTTTGCTACCCAGTGGTGGTGGACTAGTGGCCTATTCAGATGTGAGGCCGTTTGGTAGTGTATACGCGGATGCAGCTCAACCTACCATCAAGAAAAAGAAAGTGGTAGTTCTAGGAACAGGTTGGGCAGGCACAAGCTTCCTGAAAAACTTGAAAGATCCCTCGTTTGATGTTCAGGTTGTGTCGCCTTGTAACTATTTTGCATTTACCCCTTTGTTACCAAGCGTTACATGTGGCACTGTTGAAGCTCGGAGTGTTGTTGAGCCGATTCGCAACATTGTGAAGAAGGTACTGTACTGTAGTTCATGATCCTCTTTAAACCCAAAACTTTAGCATTCTTTATTGTTGAATTATTGTTATCATTGGGATAACTCTCTAATGGATGTAGGGAAATCTAAAGGTAAAACTTCTATTTTATGTCCAATTGTTATATCCCCATGTGGAAGAGCCTGTTTACTACCTGAGCCTATATATACACACATATCTATAGTGTGTGTGTAATTCATATGTGAACATGACTAACCAAATTTATCATATTGAACTTCTGTAGTTAACGTGTACTGTTTGGATCTCTATGTTTAGATATAGCTTTTGCTTCTAAGAGCATCGAGGCTATTGAAGTTCCAATTTTGGATATAATTGCATAGTTGTCTGCTAAAGGCGCGTTTGGTTCGGGAACAAGAATTGACTAATTCCCTATTCAGTAATGGTACGATTAAGGCAGGACCGGAAAAACTGTGTGTATAGATCTTATTAAGCTGGACATGATAAGATAGAAATGTTAAAATGACCGGATTATGCCTCAAATGAGGTTTATGGTTTTCTATATCATATAATAGTGTTACAAATGACACACGAGTAGTTTTGTAATTAGTCATTAAGTTTCATCCATTTCTTTTGTTCCACAAAAAAAATCCAATTACATGTTGTCGGGTCAATGTTGCATAGAACGGGCATGGGATAATGTTCTTTCCGCCTTGTCCATCATGCCAATTACACCATAAAGCAAAGTTGTGTCATGAGTTATCTGCTAGCTCCTACTTAATCTCTATGAAATGTGAGCATCGTTTATACTCCATCTATAGAAAAGGAGTTGCATAAAGTTTATGTTCGACATTAAGATTGATATTTTGCTTAAAGTGAAAATTTTATAACCAGAGTTACGGGATAGAGTTTAACATAAAATTATTTCGGAGTTGTAAACAATAAATTATTGCGTCAATATTTTGAATTTAAGAAACACAAATTTTGGATGATTCAAATAAAAGTTAGACCCCTTTTTTGGGCGGAGAGACTTTGTATGTGAAAATGTTTGTCATATTTTTGCTAGTTAAGTAGTTTGATGATGGTAGTGACAAATTGTCATTCTTGTACTGCAGAAAAACTTCAATGTTCAATTCAAAGAAGCAGAATGTTTCAAGATTGATACGACTAAACAAAAAGTCCACTGCAGATCCATCCAAAATATTAATATAGGAGGGAAAGAAGAGTTCACTGTGGATTATGATTACCTGGTAATTGCCATGGGAGCACGTGCAAATACTTTCAACACCCCAGGTGTCGTTGAAAATGCTCATTTCTTGAAGGTGATTGAATTGAGTTGTCTATCAGAGAAACATGTTTAATGTCAAACACACATTAGGAAAATGTATGGAAATCCTTTAAGTGAAACCAGGACACAAGTAGGTTACTGATAATATTGGTATTCTATTAGATATGCACAATCTGTTGATGTTGGTAAAATTATAAGTTTTGATATATTTTATGGGGAAAATCTGTAAAAAAAGTGAAGTATCTTTCTCCATTTTGAATAGTTGGCTTCATATCTTTGGAACAGATGGAGATGTAGCTACAGGATGATGATATTTCATCGATGACATCAAAAAAGTTTTATTGATTTAACAAATAAGTATTATATACTTGGTTGTATTTGAACAGAAGTTTTCATGCAGGAAGTAGAAGATGCTCAGAGAATCCGCAGGAGTATTATTGACTGTTTTGAAAGGGCAAGTCTTCCAAGTGTAAGTGATGAGGAGAGGAAAAAGATTTTGCATTTCGTGGTGGTCGGAGGTGGACCAACAGGGGTGGAATTTGCAGCCGAGCTTCATGATTTTCTCCATGAAGATCTAATATATTTGTACCCTGATTTGGAACAACATATCTCAATAACATTGCTAGAGGCAGGTGATCACATATTGAACATGTAAGGAAGATAACAGATTAGTTGATTACTTGTTTAAATTTTCTAGATAACCATGGTATGATGACGCTTTAAAATGTCTTGCTTTGAAGGTTTGACAAAAGAATTACTGCTTTTGCTGAAGAAAAGTTCCAAAGAGATGGCATTAAGGTGCAAACTGGGTCAATGGTTGTCAAAGTATCTGACAAGTCGATAACTCTTAAAGAAAGATCAAGTGGTGAAACTAAAGTTTTACCATATGGAATGGTGGTGTGGTCAACTGGAATTGGAACCCGCCCAGTCATTATGGATTTCATGAAGCAAATTGGCCAGGTTTGGTGGTTTTAGCATTCTTATTTCTACTTTGATCATGCATCTTTAACTGATTTACTTTCTTCCTCTATGGTTTTCATTAATCACATAATGTTCTATAGCATTTGTCAACTTCAATCGGTTCTCTATTTATTGGGTTTCAGGGAAACAGGCGAGTTATGGCAACCGATGAATGGCTTAGGGTGGAGGGAGTACCAAATGTGTACGCTCTTGGTGATTGCGCCACAATAAATCAACGTAAAGTAATGGTAAGTTGTTATTTTTGAAAGAGTTTGAACCATCTTATAGAATTTATGCAAATCTTGACTTGATTTACAGGAAGATATTGCAGACATATTTGGTAAGGCAGACAAGAACAAGACTGGAAAGCTGAGCGTGGAAGATTTTAACGAAGTAATTAATGATRTTATCGAGAGGTATCCACAAGTGGAGCTTCACTTGAAGAGTAAAAAGTTGAAGAATTTTGTCCAGTTGCTTCAAAGTGATAGAGGGGATGCTGCAAAACAGGCAACTCGTTTGGATATTGAGAAGTTCAAATCAGCACTTTCTGAAGTCGATCATAAAATGAAGAGTCTTCCTCCAACAGCACAGGTGAATTTAAATGAGAATCGTTGCCTAGATGCATTGTTGGGTTGTATTGAAACCATTCAACAATGTACCTAGGTACAATTTCCAAAAGAGAGAGAGAGAGAGATAGATCTATAAGAATTCAATTAACTCCTCTCTTGTTCATCAATATAATATCTCCAGAACAGGAGGTCTTTTAATCGACTATTGGAACAAATGTTATATGTCTTAGGTAGCGGCTCAACAAGGTGAATACCTAGCCCAGTGTTTCAACCGCATGAAGGAGTGCGATGAGAATCCTGAAGGTCCAATAAGATTCAGAGATAGTGGTCGCCACCGATTCAAACCGTTTAGGTATAGAAACTTTACCAGTTTTCCTACTCATAGTTAATACTATATCTTTTTTTGTTCCAAACGTACGATTGCCATTTTGGAATAATAACCTAGCTATATTATTTAAGGTACAAGCATTTGGGCCAGTTTGCTCCACTAGGTGGTGAACAAACTGCAGCTCAACTTCCTGGGGATTGGGTTTCCATCGGTCACAGTACGCAATGGCTTTGGTACTCTGTGTATGCAAGGTAATATCTTGTTATTTTTTTATGTGGTTTTGTTACTTTCTAGTTTCTGTTTTTTGTTGTTTAACTTTCTTTTACTATCCATGACGACTAATAAGAAGTAGGAATAAATGCATAAAACACGAAAGATACTAGTTTCAGGTGAATCGAACACACTTTATGTTTTCTGTCAGCCGTTGCAACCCATGAAAAGTTGATAGCAAAGATGAGATTCAAACATAGAACTTATGACACTTGCACAATCTAGAGGTGGCAAATACGRTGGTTGGGTAAYCGGACAAAAGTATGCGACTTTTATGAATGGGTTGGGTGTTGATTAACATTTTTATCAATCAATTATTTAAATCAATACTTGATATAGACGATGTTTGATATATACCTACAAGTAATATAGTCATTTTTGATATTAAGCCTCTTCATTCACCACAATAACCAAAGAACAATTTATCTTAAATTAGATAGACAACTTAATCCATATAGGATTTGATGGAAAAGCAACTAATCGACCTTTAAGTTAAGATGTATTGCATGATCATATTCAAAAGTAAGTATATTATGCTAAGGTCCATTTCCAGTTGTGAACTCTTAAATGATGCTTAATTTCGTGGAATAAATGCAGCAAACTAGTGAGTTGGCGCACGAGGTTCTTGGTGATAGGCGACTGGGGAAGGAGATTTATTTTTGGAAGGGACTCCAGCAGAATCTAGGCGATAATTGAAAGCAACGGCATCACATACTCTTACACAATCAACACTTTAATTAAACGAAGAATTTTGTTGTGGTTTCGCTTTCTAGTGTTGTTACCACTGCTAGTTATTTTCAAAGTTTATGTAGTTCTGTTATGCTTCTTTCAGCCTCTACTGCTGAAACTCGTTACAAAGAGTTAGCATATAAGGTTTTGTTATACACGTCTAGACTATTTATGATTGCTTCAAGAGAAATTAACAATTTGTATTTTGAATAATTTTCAAACAATGGTCAAAAGTGAGGTTTCTTGTTCTTCAATTGAATGTTTTGGTGTTGGACCATTTTTATAGTTGGGTTAAATGCATGAAATAGCAACCTACTTTCATAAAAAAAAATTATTATAGCATTCTACTTTTGTTTTTATTTATTACAGCAATATACTTTCAAATTATTTTTTATTAAGGCATTGTACTTTAAAAAATCTACCATAATAGCAATGAGTAACCTGTTACCTTTTAAACCGGTTAACCCTTTGACTTTTTTGCTTGTGTGGCTTTAATGAGGTGATGTGGATGACATGTCATTTTGATAATTTAACTAAAATTTAAAAAAAAACATATTTCAAATTATTATTAGTAATTTTCATTTTTCATTGCTATGATCTAAAAAAACATTTAATTTTTTTTACTTTTTCTTATTAAGTTGCATTCAAATTAAATATTCTTAGAGTAAAATATTTATTAAATAAATATGAAACATTATTTTTGAGATATATTTTGTTTGTAAAAAATGTAGCTTTTCCTATTTTATGTTGTTCAAATAAATACATAT